ATTGACTCAGCTCCATCAGCTTATCAAGTTATAGAAGGCACTGGAGCCATCCTGTTCTGTAATGCCACTGGTAATCCACAGCCCAACGTTACATGGACCAAACAAGGAAACAACAGCAAATTGTCTACATCAGCGACTCTTCATCTGACAAAGCTGATGAGAGAAGATGATGGATCAGTGTACAAATGTACAGTGACAAATGAAGTTGGATCAGCAGAAGCTACAACAATGATCACTGTGTTCTGTAAGTTCTCAAGTCGATTATGTGTAAGACTATTAGTTTGTGACTTTGACTTATGCTAAGCTGCATAATGAGCTCTCGGGTGATCTACTGATTGCACTAATGGCTTAGAACAGAATTTAAAGCGGGAAAAAATCTTTTTATCAGGGTAGAGATCCGCCGCTATCATGGATTCTGAAGAATGCTGGAAGTGGCCAGGTTGCTTCGCTTACCCTAATGTTTAGGGGCAAATCCACGAAAATTGTTTCCATTTTGGATTTCTACACCTAGTGTTAAAGTAGATTTGTTTCTCTTCTGTTAAAAAAAATTCTGATCATTTGTGTAAAAAGTCACGTTTATTTCCCTCATTTTGAAATTTTAGTTCGACCCTTCTACGTCTTTCGCGTTAATTACGTTTATTAGGAAGTAATTTTTCCTCCAATTTACGTTAATTCAAGTCTCGTTAATTGTTAATACCTTAGTGAGCAAAAGTGATAATTTCCTTTAATAAGGTAATCAACTGTATCAATGTAGTACATAGTAATAGGCACCTTGCATCAACGATTCAGGTGACCTGTTTACCTTTCGGCACTTTAAGACAGACCAGAAATGTAAAAAGGATGATAAACTGACCAATCACGTTCAACGGACCAGACTTGTAACATCATCGACTGACAAACACTATTCACTTGACTCTGAAGATGACTTCCGCTCAGGTTGTCGAAACGTCAGTCACCAACAATAGTTCTTTTCAGAACTACCCTCACCCGGACGATAACACTATACGAACTAAGGGTGATAAAGTTAGCAGGATGGCCAAATTGAGGCCTCTGGCATTGAAGTGTCAAAAATGTGTTGGGGGAAATGGGTATTTGAAATTTTTTTAAAAGATTTGTGTGAAGAAATATTACTGGACAGTGAGGTCTCCGGTATTCATAAAGTCATAACCCTTAACAAAAACATTTTGATAAAAAGAAGGGCACGTGATGAATTCCACCTGAAAGGGAGTCTGTTCCGACGATCCCAAGAAAAATTACTGTATTTAAAAAGCTTTGGGATGAATATGCGGAGAAACACTGTATTCTTATTTGAACAACGATTTTCAATGACAAACTTACTCAAAGGCAACATCAGTTATTCAGTTTACTTGTTAATGACTAAACAACCTTTAATTGTATTTGATTTTTCGAAATTTCCTGGTTGTTTATTGCCATCAGGAGCGTGAGTAGTTACTGGCTGGCCTCTGGAATAGCATTCTGACGACTCTTTCAGTCTTCTTTGGGTGATTATCCAGATCTCATTTACTCCTCTAAACACTGAGACAAGTGGAAGTTGATTACCTCGTCGATTAGTAGATAACAGGACAAGACTTAATAACTACTTCATTTATTACAGGCCCTTACGCATGTAGCTAGTGTATAGTGCGTTCATTCCATCCGAATAACTTTTTACTGAACGAAATACAGTACAGAAACTTTCAAACCTTTTTCTAGTATAAAGCCAAACAAATGGCATCTTGCAGAATTATGTCTCTTGACACTAAAACTCCATATATTGAATGTGATACGGAACGGTACTTTTCAAACTTTACTCAGATTCTGATAGCGTTCTGGTTCATTATTTTAAAAGTGTTTAATGATGTCTTTTCTGCAGTCCCACCAAAGGCTATAATACATAGGTGCCCTACCAATGTCACTGAAGAAAACAGTGAGACATTCAACTGCAGTGCAACTGGTAATCCCTCACCCGAAGTAGCCTGGATAAGGTCTGGAGAGGTTGTGGTGGAAGACGGTGCCTATGTGATATCTGCTATCCATAGAAGTCAGAAAGGAACATATGAGTGTATGGCATGGAATGGAATTGGCAACAATTCTACAGCCAATTGTACAGTTGATGTTGAGTGTAAGTAAAGTAATGGCAGGTCAAAGTCCGCTGAACATTTTCTTTTTGATCCTCTTAGCTTCACCATTAATGCCTTCATCTTTATGTTTATTAAGCTCGCCTCCCCGACCCCACCCTCTTCGTGCTTCACGCTCGCTTCGCGTGCGTTGAAAAATAGAGAGGCTGTGAACAGTCTAAGCGAATTTATGTCTACAGCACAATTGTAAAATGAACTTTATATAATTATTTGAGATTGTTTTTATCCAACAGATCTGCCAACTTCAACCAACATTACAACACTACCCAGTAACAATACAATACTGCGTGGTGCTGCTTTGTCGCTAAAATGCACAGCAGATGCCAACCCTGATGCTCACATTTATCGCTTCTACTTAAATGACAGTCTTATTGGTAACAGCAGTTCAGGTGTGTTTAACACCACTGTAATGACAGATGGAGTGTACACTTGTGTTCCTGTAAACACAGTTGGCGAAGGGGACAATGCTACTGTCAATGTCACTGCTGTTGGTAAGTACAATGAAATCGGTAGTTTATTTCAGTATTATCATTTACTGCGACTTTATTGTCACAGATAGATTAACATCGCTCTCTTGTCACTTCATAGTAGAATGCCTGATTGAATCCTGATATCAAAAAATGATAATGACTAATCTTTTTGCCTCGTTATAGGCATTTACATCAAGAGAGAGATTATGTCTGCCAATGAACTTTGCAAGGATAAAATCACTTGTATACGTACCTGTATAAATTTAAAAAGTAACCGTTGTTTTAACAATCGATATATGATTCACCATCATTGTGTCATTAACTTGAAGCAATGTTTCAATTCTCCGGAGCATGAGTCAATTACACTGTAGTCAAGAATTTTTTTTATAGACCCCTTTCCCGATGGAATGAAACAATTTTTAATGTTAATTTTGTGACTAAATGCTCTATTAAGAGAGGTTTTTCTGGAATGCTCTTAGCCGACAAGTTATTATAGAATCATGAAACAAGGTGACACCCTAGTACTACGGTACATCTTTTCTAGACTCAAAAAGAGCCTGCAAAAAGATGTTGCCTGACCATCATCATCTCGCCAGGCGGCAGGCGTAAAAATCATAATTTCAGCACAAATGCCGTAGGGAATATAAGAACCTTTTCGTGACCCAGACGGCTTTAATGATATACACCTTTGTGGCTTTTCTCGACCATTGAAATATGTATTAAATTTTATTCTTTTTTCAGTTGCTCCACTTGCCGAGGTAACTGCTCAAAATGACACCATCATTGAAGGTGGAAATGTCACCCTAACCTGTGTTGTCAGTGGTGATCCTTCTCCCTCTATACTCTTGACTAAGCTTGGCAATCCTGAGGTGCTCTCTAATACATCATCCCATACCGTTGTGAATGTAAGCAGACCCGGGACACCTGGTAACATGATCCAGTATCAGTGTACAGCCAGTAATGGAGTGGGGACACCTGCTAGAGACATAACCAATGTTACTGTTTATTGTGAGTCAGTGTTTGTATGAGTAACCTAATTTACACAACAAATTTAATATCATTTTATGAACCTGTTATATGAAAAATAGGGATTTTTTTCGTGTATAGAAAGTGAATTTTGTAAGTTTCGAATACAATGTATATATATGAGAGCTTTATACAGAAAGTTCAAAGTGATGTTCCATACCGATTGTAAAAGAAAATATAATAAAGCACTTATTCGTTAAGTAACCTAATGAACCTGTTATCTTTACAGTGGAAGGAAGTTGAACTAACCTTAGGAGAGGACTTCATAGTAAATAGGGACTTCAAGATACGCTACGGCGAGCTACTAGTACGGCTACTTTGGCCGTGATGGACTAGGCAGACAACGCCGTTTTCTCTGCAAACCTCAAACAGATTACGATTTCGCTTTGCGGGATGGCGTGTGCAGCCTCCACGTGTCTTTTCAAAAATGGCTTCGTTCAAAGAAGCCGGTGACTTTATTCTACTTTCATAGGACATAGGCTTGACTAATGACGAGGAATTCTCTGCTGTAGCCGTCTTACATCTCCTAGAACTTAGATTTGCCTCTTAGATGCTTTTAGAACCGCCTGTAATTCCAACCACAAAACAACACCGATAAAAAGTTCGATTTCAGTACGGACAGGGCTTCGTTCAACGTGATAAGCCCAAAAATACAAAATTTTTGAATCTAATAAAATGCATTTTGGACAGTAATAAACAGTTATAGCTCAGCTTAGTACATATGAAGTTTTCTTATCTGCGGCTGCTCGGCCCGGTACGAATATGACTCTCTCTCACGGTAGATGTTTAAATCGTTCAAATGTTCTGTACAAATGACAAAGAAACAATTATCGTCGAACGGATTTTTAGTATTGAATGCTTTACCTTCGAACTAAGCTGTTCAAGCAGTGAAAAAGCGTTAAAATGAGAGGTAAACAGCAGACTTAAACTCAAGTAGTGAAGAGTACGTGAAATCAGGCACTTTCCCGTAGTAGAAAGCAAGGCTACGGCTGGAAACCCGTACTGGAACGCGCGTCATGACGTCACCGGAAGTGATCTTCACTATATGCCGCCGCACTATAGCCTAGCCGTACGATTTAAAAGAAAAAGTCTCTGTAAGTAATAGGGACTTTAAGACACGCTACGGCGGGCTACTTCTACGGCTATTTTGGCCGTGAGGTACTAGGCTGGCAATGCCATTTTCTCCGCAAAACTCAAACGGATTACGATTTCGCTGTACGGTAATGGGGTGTGCATCCTCTAAGTGTCTTTACAAAAATGACTAATGTTTCTTCTTCTACAGTTTGGGGTCCTCAGCCAGTGATCTTTTGTATGAATCACATCTATAGTAGTACTCTATACTGTGTAGAGTATAAAAATAAAGTTGCCAATAGAATAGTATGTACGCCTGTGGATGTTTGTAGTTGTTAGTACGCCATGTCATTAATTGAACGTTCACTGTGCATGCAAGGTGTGTATTGTAATGCCCAAGTTTTATTACCGTGACGTTTGCTTCCCCTCACCTGGTTTAAAGAAGGCTGTACATTATAAATGTTTAAAATGCAAAATAAAATGTTGAGAATGTTCAATGTAGTCCTGGAAACTAAAATATGTGAAGGGTCTGTTAATTACAAAGCTGTTAAGTCTTTAGTATTTGTCAAAAGTGAGTGATGTAACGATTAAAACGTATGTACATAGTGACGATGTCTTAAAACGTATATATATAGACCCTTGGCTCCTAGGTGGAGCATAGGTCGTCCACAGTTTTCTTCCACTGCTCTCTGTCCTGAGCTAGTCGTTCAATTTGGGTCCATCGCAGGCCTATTTGCCGCAGTTCTTGTTCGGCTGATCTTCAATTGTTTTTCGGCCTACCACGGTTTTGTTTACCTTGAGTGATTCCAAAATAGTGTGGTTTTCTTAGCGTGTGGCCGATCGAGTTCCACTTCTTCAGGCCTGGGTGTAAGTAATCGGTTCAGCCCTGCAGCGCCCACGTTGTGGGTTTGGCTGTAATGCGTCATTTCAATCCCGCTTGAGATTGATTCTCATGCGCCCAAGACTGGTTGAGTGATACGAATTCCTGTAGATGTTTCTGTATACATAGGTGTAAATATTATGTATTTCTTTCTTTTTACATGGACCAAAGTATTTCATGATTCCAGAAATTAAAAATGTTAGCTTTCTAACCACAATACTCAGTGCAATACAAGAAATTGGTTGACTGTAAACAGCATTTCATATTACACGTGTCGTTTTGATTTTCCTACACCTTGTAGATAATAAGCCTGTACCATTGTTAAAACTTTATCATTGGTTTGTCGTTATGCGACATAATATCTTTGCTAAGGCCTGTCAAAAATGCATCATACAGTGGCTTTGTAGACTCTTCTTGATCACCAATGCCACTAACTAACTGAGGTTATTTAATCTCTAGACCAATTCAAAGCAGTAGCCACTTATTGGTTCAAGTATCCTTTATTCAAATTTGATCTAATCCCACATGCTAAAAAACGTGTTAAATTGAGTTACGGTTATAGCACACTTAAAAATATCACATGAAATGATAATAATCATGAATGTTAGTTAAATAGTAATAAGTATTTTGCAGTGCCACGTTAATGAACTTGCAGATCAACTGTAGTTGTTACAGCACCCTTTATAAATATTTTGGGTAGGAGATTATCCAATCTTTATAATCTTATTGTTCTCACGTTCTGAAATATCAAATTGCTGTATATTTTTGTGCGTAAATTGCTTCTGCATTTTCCAGTGAAACTACCCTGCTGTCTAACAAATATTGCATAATATGTTAACGGTCATTTACATGTGATGTCACTTTTCTTCCTTTTTGTTGAAGATGCACCTGATAGACCGACCTTCACAACAGTCCCTAGTAACAGGACATTACCTCGTGACAGTATTATGACTTTAAACTGCAGAACAGATGCCAGTCCTGAAGCTGAGTATCATTTCTATTTTAATGGCAAGTCTATTGGTAACAGCAGTTCAGGTGTCTTTAATGTCACAGTTGAAGCGGATGGAGTGTACACTTGTGTTCCTATCAACACAGTTGGCACAGGAGACAGTGCTACTGTCAACGTCACTGCTGTTGGTAAGTTGATATCCACAGACCCTTTTCATAAATCGCTGGCAATTTAAAATTCTTTTGTAAGCATTTAAATTAGCTTTCGTGTAAGGGTAAAACAAAAGTCATTTCCTTTTTTTACAGGGGTTTACATTTAAAAAAAATAAAATAAACCATGAGACTTCTTTGTGCCCTCATGTATAATGAATATAAATACTACAGATTTAGTAATTTTTATACGGTAAAATCTCACGTTAAAGCCCCCCACCCCCCAGTTATACCCCCGGATATAAGCCCTTCTATTTGCGAACAAAGATATTATTCTGGATTTAAGCCCCCAGATATAAGCCTCCCCGGATGTAAGACCATCTAATGTTTTAGTGCGTTCCTTTTGCGTTTCTTTACAAACATCAAAATCTTTCATAGAAAGTTATAGGCTAATAGTGTGATAATAGGGTAATAGGGTAATAGCTCTTAATGTAACGGTATGTTAGCTTTAATTCGTTTCTCAGATATGTTTTATCTTGTCGTTCTGAAACATTTTTTTTTATTCTGCT